TCCTCGGGTCTCCTCCCACTTACGATTGTATGATGCCGACGGCTGTTTCACGCTATTTTCCGTCGTCTTCTCAAATACTCATCCGAAGGCTTCAGCATTTTTGCATCGACTACTTGAGAAGTGGCAAAAACGACCAGGGGCATGCAAATGTACATCTCACTATTAAAAAACAATTTGTTGTAACACATGAAGTTTGAAATTCGGAAATTTTCGCGCCAATGATGGTTCACGTGATACTAGAGATGGCAAAATAAGATGAAACAGACACCGACGTTTCGTTTTCATTGAACTGCACTGCACCGTTCGTGTCATATGACAAACACATTAGAAATCGAAATTGAAAGATTGGAGAACCCGATAAAGGACCTTCCATAAACAATGCAAACTTTCAATTACTCAAGTCGAAAATAAAAAGTATGTCCTTGAGTTCAAAATTGAAAATAAAAAGTGAAACATCGCATAGGAAATTCTGGAAACCATGCATTTCAGACAATTCTCGGACTTTGTTCCCACTACTAGTTAACATCACTTTTGTTGTCATTCCGTACTGTTATTGCTTGAAAATGCATGCTTTTACAGCACAAACACAAGTTGTTACAGATTCATGACTGATCATGTTACAAACAAACAACAACTATTTGGACCTGGGTGAAAAATAAGGAGATTGCTGTTTTAGGGAACAAAATCTGAAGAAGGATAAAGAGATTTCTTAAAGTAGAAATTGGTAAAATTTGGTAAACATACCGAAAATAAAAGGTTTGCATAAAATTCAGGGATGTTTGGAACACATCAGAATTCCAAGAACTCCGAAAATTCATACCATTTCCAAAATCAAATTCTGATCGGGATATTCCCCATTTTTTCAGAATTAAAGATTTTTGAACTACGGTACATCGACGGTGCACGATTAAAGTTTTCTTGCCGGTCTCGAGAATTATTCTTTTTTGCTGTTTCTGTTTGTCAATTTTTCGCCAATCTTTTGATATGAAAAAATCAGAAATTTCGAAAACCGGAAAACCTTTTTATTTTATAATTTAATATGAATGCTTATCAATATACAAAGCTGCTACAGTACTGGCCAAAAAGGTATTCGCAAATAGTTTTTCGAGCATAACTTTTCTGAAACTTCCCGATCAATCTGATATTTTAAGACAAAGTTTAAAACGGTAAAAGAAACTGATTCAACAACAAGAATAGTCAAAATTTCAAAAAATTGAAAAAAAATCGAAAAATTCATGAAAATTGCAAAAAACCGGTAAATGGAACTTTGACTTCTGAGATCTAGGATAGACCGGTAAACGAAAAATAATAATAGAAAATGAATAAAATAGCTTTAGTACTTCGTTGGGAAGCCTTTGGCGTCGATTACCGTTTGACATCTTCTTGGCATCGAGTCGAGAATGGTGTCGATGACAGACATCGGGATGGCCTGCCAGACATCTTGGAGTTGGTCGAACTTCTGGTTGGCATTCGAGGCACGAACCCCTCTAAGCTGTCTCTCGACATGCTCCCAGAGGTGTTCGATCGGATTCAAGTCCGGAGATTGACTTGGCCAGTCCAGAAGATCCACGTGGCGGCGTCGGAACCACTCCTTGATGTGCTTCGAGGTGTGCTTCGGGTCGTTATCCTGTTGGAAAACGAACGCCCGGCCCACAGTAGACCTTGCCCAGGGTCTCATTGTGTTCTCCAAGATGTCTTCATAGACAAAGCGATCCATGATGCTTGTAATTCATCTCAGCGGGCCGATTGAAGTCCCAGAGAAGCAGCCCCAGACCATCACCGATCCACCTCCATGCTTGACGGTTTGGAGCTGGTAGCTGGGATCGAACCGACATCCAACCGGACGGCGAATCCACTTGATACCGTCAGTACCGAACAGATTGAACTTGGATTCGTCGCTGAACACGTGATTAGCCCAATCCTGACGTCCCCAGTGGAGATGAGCTCTGGCCCATGCTACGCGGGCGATTCTGTTCTTCTTGCTGATCGATGGTTTCTTAGCTGGCCGTCGTCCATGGAGTCCAGCATCTTGAAGACGTCTTCTGACGGTTCTCAGGGATGGTGTGACTTCATTTGGAGTCTTCACGACCATCTGAATGTCCGTAGAACTTCTCTGGGGATCCTCTCTTGAAACTCGGACGATGTTCCGATCCATGTTCTTCGACGTGATACGCGGTCTTCCAGGCGATTTTCGCTCCACCAAGGCTCCCTAAACATTTTTTTCCATAACTATACTATTTTTGAATATTACCTCATCCCGAAACTGCTTCAAGATCTTCTCGATGGCACGTTTAGTAACATTGAACTGCTGCGCCA